ATTTTATTAATTTTAATGAACGTTTACAGAGATTTTGGATTTCCATTCATTCATTGTTGCATTTTTCTCCCTGACCACTCTTCCTCCCCAGTTCACTCTTCTCTTTGAAAAGTAAAATTCCTTCATTGGTATACAATCCTCCCCCCACCTCCCGAGTGCACTCCACTAGGCAGCCTTCATTCTGGACTCTTATCATAACCATAATACCCAATCATATATCGCTTTTAAACTGTTCTCTCCCTCATCGATTTCAATGCAGTCTTCATAACAGAATGCTTCTTAAAGTAAACAAAGACCTGACTTGATTACACATGCTTTGGGTGTATTATCAGGAGGGGCCAGTCTCTGGAAAGTTATATTATGCTTAGCAAAGTTGTTAACAAGTTTATCTTGATGTAAGTACAACCAGGACCCTCCTTGCAGGCAAGGACGGTGAAATTTAGTCTCTTATGCTTTGGGGAGGTTGTCAAGAGGCACTGTTGTTGTTATGTGCCATCATGCTGCCTGCAAATCATAGGGACCTTATATATAGCATCTCTGAAGCCTGCCCTGTCCTGAGCCAGTCTCACTGATCCCATTACACCTACCCCCGTCGCCCCAGTTACTGTATCAATCCATCTCATCTGGAGTCTCTCCTTTCTCATGCACTGTCCATGCACCCTTCTGAGCATGATGTCCTTCTCCAAGGACTGGTCTCTCCTGGCCACATGCCCGAAAGTGAGGCAAAGCTTCAATATCCCAACCTCCAAGGAGAAACTTGATTTCATCCTCTCCAAGACAGATCTACTTGTTTTCTTGGCATTCCATGGAATGTTCAAGACTCATCTCCAGCACCACATTTCGAAGGCATCGATTCTTCTTCTTGTCATTCTTAGTCACTGTCCAGCTAGTCCTTGGAAAAAGGCAAAGTGCTTGGAAAAAATGCAAAGAGAGAAAGCCCTAGATGAGATGAATGGACACAGAGACAGTAACAATGGGCTTGAGCAGAGTGGAGATTGTGAGCAGGGCACAATGTAGGATGAAATTGTGAGGAGTTAAATAGATGGCTGAGATGAGTTGAAGTGAACTCAAAACCCTTAACAACAACAAAGCAGTTAGATGCTGGCAAGTCAGTTCCAACTCACAGAGACCCTCCGTACAAGAGAATGAAACACTGCCACCTCTCCCAATCCCTGCCATGCCCAAGCCCACTTCTGCAGTCACTGCGACAGTCCATCCACCTGCGGGACTTCCTCTCTTCCCCCGACAATCTACAAAACAAACTGGCACAATGGCTGCAAGCCTGAACTCAAACACAGCAGTAATCTTGATGATGGCTCGGGACTGGGCGCTGTTGTCTTCTTTGGAACACAGTCACTCTTAAGTTGGAACGGACTTGATGCCACTTACCAACATCCTGGTATTTAAGAATCAAAAAGCTGGCATCAACATAAATTGGAAATAATTGGATATGGTGTAAATAAAGAACACTAGAGCCAAATAAAATATCATTTATTATTATGATAATGACCAAGGATGACAGGAGAAGACTTGATGCCTTCAAATTGTGGTGCTGGAGTAGTCTTGAATATACCATGGACTGCCAGGAAAACAAGCAAGTCCATCCTGGAGAGGGTGAAACCAAGTTTCTCCTTGGAGGGTAGGATTTTGAAGCTCCATCTTACATGCTTTGGGAATGTGGCCAGGAGGGATCAACCAGTCCTTGGAGAAGGCTCAGAAGGATGGATGGACAGCACAGAAGAAGACCCCAGATGAGATGGATTGATACAGTGACTAGGGCAATGGGGGAAGTTGTGTTGGAGTCAGTGAGACTGGCTCAGGACAGGGCAGGTTTCAGAGCTGCAGTACATAGGGTTGCTATGAGTCACAGGCGACTCGACAGCACATTAACAACAACATTATGAAGAGTTTGGGCTGTTTGTGCTATGGAGAAATCCTCACGGTATATTGTTAAAGGTAAGAAGTTAAAGAATTGTAGAAATTACATGCTTCCACTTCATTCCCTGCAGAGAAAAAAAGAACGGGAACTCTGTTTCCCAAAATGTAAATTACTACCTCGAGGTGGTAGAAACACCACTGGTGTTTAGCTGATTCATTTGCATCTCTATCTTTTTTCTTCATAAGTGCACCAATTTCTCAGAAATAGAACTTTGTTTTCTCGTATCTGTCATTAACTCCTGCAGAATGAAGGCAGTACAGCCATTTATTTTGGGAATTTAAAAATCAATCCTCGCCTCCACCAACCCCTGACTGGAGAGCCAGGAACTCGTTCTCAGCCACATGTTATGTTCTTTGTTGCCAATGAAAAGCTGCAGGCGAGTGGTCTCTCCAAAATTCATACCGAGACCAGCACTGGAGCGAAGCGTTTTAAATGCTCCTTGCCGTGTTCAGCCAGTGCTCCCACCCAAAGGGTGCGTTTATACCCCTGTGCTTCTCTTCCAGCACCAGAGATGTTTTTCTTGCTTTATGTGACAAGCTTTGCCATTTGTACCAGCGGACAACCTCGGGGTCATCAGTTCAAAGGAGACGGCTACTCCCCAAGATACATCTGCAGCATCCCTGGCTTACCTGGACCCCCAGGCCCACCTGGAGCAAATGGCTCCCCTGGGCCCCATGGTCGCATCGGCCTCCCGGGAAGAGATGGGCGAGACGGCAGGAAAGGAGAGAAAGGAGAAAAGGGGGCGGCAGGTAATGGCACTGAACTTCCACAAACAGTTTTTTTATTCATTTTAATGAAGTTTACAGAGACTTAGGGTTTCCAGTCATTCACTGTTGCACTTGTCTCCCTGCCAGTGCCCTCCTCCCCAATTCACCCTTCTCCTTGAAAAGTAAAACTCTTTCGTTGTTATGCAATCCCTCCCCCCAAGTCCACTCCACTGTGCAGCCATCATTCTGGACTCCTGTCATGACAATAATACCGAATCATATATCCCTTGTAAACAGTTCTCTCCCTCATCTGTTTCAATGCAGTATACATCATTGCTCCCCTCCTCCGTCTTCCCTCAACCCTGATGTCAGTCCCCTCCATCTTTTAAAAGTGCTTCTTCTCACAAAAGTTGCTCCTAAATCCTGTCCATGTTTTGGCTTCATTTCTAATACTTTCTGGAGCCCTTATTATGCTCCATTGTCCCTTGGGGTTACCTAATGGTTTGAGTACGTACCCAGCCTCTAACCAAAAGGTTGAAAGTTCAACTTGGGGGAAAGACTTGGTGGTCTACTCCCAACAGTTTAGTCCTTGATGATTCAATGGGAACAGTTGTATCCCTGACACACATGGGGTCACCCCAAGAGCGGGAATCCATTCAATAGCTCCTGGTAACTTGTCCTGTTTCAGGTACTGTTCCAAACACTGCCTTTCTCACATTTCACTGCGCCTTTCAGGTGCATGTTATCATAGTTTATAGGTGAAAATGAAATACTGAGCATTTGAACATTTAAAATTTGCTGAACATTTTGGAAGTGTGCTGTTGGTGTCAGGCAGGGCTGGTATTGAACAGCTAACGCCTGGAGCCACTGGGCTGGAGCCAGGCAGCATGGATGGCAGGAGGTGGGAATACACAATATAGATAGAGAGATGGACAGGAGTGGAGAGACACAAGCAAGGCTGTGGTCCACATTCAAAGTCAAAAACAGAGGAACCATCCCTAACCCTGTACTAATATCCGGATCAAAGATACCTGAAGGGCGTCTCAACTCTCTTTTTCACACCTTAAATGACAGTCTCCTCTGCAGCCTCTCTTCCAGAGCTCATCACCACCCCACCTGCCCTGGGGTCGCTGATTTAATCCCCCAGCAATCTACAGCCTCCAGCATCGCACTGTCACTTCAGTAATTCTCACCTTTTTCTTCTTCTTCTTTCTTTCCTGTCCGCAAATAAGCTGACCCAGGAAGCTTGCCAGACCCTCAAATCCTTCAGAATTCACTGAACAGAGGAGATTCAGGAAAGACTATATTGACCCCAAACAGGAAGTGGTTTGGAATCACTCTTTGAAAACCTTTTGCTGAGTGTGAAAACTAGGACAAAAGATAAGGGAGGGGGAAAATTCAATAGACTTCAACAGTCTGTCTTTCTAACCACTGATCTGTCTGACTGGTGTTGTTAAAAACAGGCTTAATGTCTATTCCAGTTATTAGATAAACATTCACTTCTGGACTTGCTATGGAGAAAATACTCTATGCCTCAGTAACTGGAAACTGTGAGCCTTGGTCAACATTCAATACAGAATGTCTGTCTAGGGATAGTAACAGAGAACTTCTCAGTGGGAGCTGTTTTCCCCAAAAGTTTTTTACATTATGACACTTGTGAACCCAAGTTGATGTTCTGTCATGTCATGTTTGAAATGCAATGACTTTGAAACTGGGGCTTAGGATTTCTCCTACTTGGCTCTATGAGTTAAGTCTGTCTAGACACAATCATGTGGTAATTGTACAAACATGCCTTGGGGTCAGGAAGCCTTTGGGCTCAGTCTTGACTTCATTGATTACAAAATTAGTCTCTCTGGGCCAAGTCCTTCTTTGAGTCTCAGTTTCCTCTCTACACAAAGTGGACAGTATTAGCCTTAATCGGGCAGCTGCTTCATAGGGTAAGGATGGGCAATCTCCTCCCGTGCTATTTTATTTAAGCCTCTGAAAGCCTGCTGGAGAGCCAGCTATGGGTCAGTTCTGACTCGGTGGTACACAGCATCAATAATTAGCCATCGGCACAGATTAGCCCTCACTCTGTGATCCTCCGCTCTGTGAAAGCTGACGACTGGCTGGGCAAGAGAAGGGGGATGAGTCATCCCATCTTTCCATTTCTCATGTGGTGTCCTTTCTCACAGGCAAATTCTTCCCACAAACAAGACGACTAGCCGTTAATTATTACATCTAGTCCTTGGCTATCTTTACCCAACAGTGACCATAGTGAGTAAACAAAGAGAAAAGACCCAACAGCAGACGCTGTGAAAACCTTGTCATGGATCGTGTTATGAAATTACATTCCAGTGTCTACGGATTACAGAGCCTGGGGGACCCAGTGGTTAAGAGCTTGGCGGTTGACCAAATGACAGAGATTTAAACCCAACAGCTGCTCCACAGAATAAAGGTGGACAGTCTGCTTTTGTAAATATTGTTGTTGTTGCTGTTAGGTGCCCTCAACTGATGAGGAGCTCAGCTGACATTGTTGTTGTTGTTGTTTAATGCCATCGAGTTGTAGACGACTCATAGCGACCCTATGAATGAACAGCCTGAGCACTGTTCGTACATAGAGTTTCCAGAGGCAAGCCATTTTGGAAGTGGATTAGTGGAGTGCAATTCTTGGTGACGCTATGAATGACAGCTCTGAACCCTGTCTCATCCTGTGCCATCCTCATCATCTCTGACACACTTGAGCCCATTGCTATAGTCACAGTGCCAATCCATCTTGTCGAGGGTCTTCCTGTCTTTCTCTGACCCTCCACCTTTTCAAGCACGATGTCTCTTCAGGGACTAGGCCCTCCTAACAACATGCCCACATCATGAACACAAAGCTTCACCATCCTTGCCCCTTGGGAGCACCCTCGCTGAACCTTCTCCAAGACTTATCTGTTTGTTCTTGCAGCAGCCTGTGGGGTATTCAGTGCTCTTCTCCAATACTACAACTCAAAGACATCAATGTTTTTTCTTCTGTCATTCTTACTCATTCTCCAACTCTCAGAGACACAGCAGGAGGTTGAAAAGATCATGGCCTGAATCAGGCTGACTTTAGTCTTTAAAGATGACGTCACTGGCCAGGAAATCCTTTGTGGACAGGTCTTTATCCTTCAGGATCACTATAATTGAGAAATGACTCAGCAGTACCCAATTCATGCTTTGGACTCATAGAATTTTCATGTGGGTGAGAAGTGAGCTAGTCCAACTTTCATTTCAAGGACGGAGCACTAAACTCAAAGAGATCAAAGCCCTTACCCACTTTCAATCAACTGCTGACTGACTGAGGTAGATTTTCTCTCAGATGTGCCGAATCACTGCTTACCCCTTTTCCCACCCGTCCTATAAAGTCCTGGAGACACTGATGGTTCCTTCCACCACTGAGGAATGGGTTGCAATCTCTTTCTCTCTCCCTCCCTCTCTTTCTCTCTCTATCTCTCTCCGTCCCTCTTCATCTCTATCTCTCCCTCCCTCTCCAACTCTCCCCCATTCTCCCTCTCCCTCTCTTTTTTTCATTTCATAAGTGGGAGATTTGAAACCCAGACAGATGAAGTGACTTGTCCAAAGTCGCAGGAAGTTCATTCAGGAGTAGAGTAATTGAAACTGTTCCCAAACTCAAACTGTCCCCACTCACTCACTCATTGCCACTGAGTTGGAAGTGACTCATAGTAGACCCTTGATTGGGTTTCCAAGACTGTAAATCTCACAGGAGGGAAACTTCCCCTCCTTTTCTCACACAGCCACTGTGGGATTCGAACCACCAGAGATCCATGGCCTTGGCATTCGCTGTGCATCTCATTACAGACTACATCAGCAGAGGTCCTTACGGACACCAGCCTGGCCTTTATTAAGACAGTGAAAGTTAAGCCCACACTGAAGAGAAAAATGACCACTTGGAAATTCTAGTCTTCAACTGAGAAGCCAATTTAACAGGAAGATATAGTATTCGGCACTCCATGTGTATCAAAACAACAATATTGAAAAATTAGATTCTTGGGATTTTACTTCAAGAACTAAATGCCAGGGTGTGTTCTGGCTGGGACTAACCACCTCAGCCGTCAACAGCCAGAGGCCAGCACTCCAATCGGTCAAAACACCGTGTGAGACAACGGCCAGAGGGCCATGGTTATGCACAGTGTCTTCTCAGCATCATACATCATTGAACAGCCTCTTTCCAAAGCAATTCAAGCAAGCGCCCTGCTATGTCCGGGGAAAGCTTTCATTCTCTTCACATTTCCATTATCCAGAACACGTCATTGCTAACTTTGCCAAATCACTGAGAAATGACCAAGTTTTTCAAACGCATGCATTGATGTCTGTGTAATAGTCAAATCAATAACATCAAAACCACACTCTAGACAGAGGGACTAAGGTCCATCCAAGTTTGGGAACAAGTACGTATTTAAGAATAAAACTAAACAATATATAAACAGTGAATTTTCCCCTAACTACAAAAATGCATTCCAGAGGACTAGTAATTTGGACACTTCCCAAATAAGTACTATGGTTTCAGTATTAGAGAATGTTTTCGTTATAATACTGAATTATATTTTTATGATATTGAGGCATTGCTTTCACATAAATGGCTTAACGTTTCAGTGGACTTTGCTTCTCATTTTTGACCCATGACTACAATTTTTCTACATTTAGCTTGTTGTTGACGACCATACAACTCAGTAACTCATTGCTGTCAGGTCAGAACCAACTCATAGCTGAGCCTCCAGAATTCGCTGGAGAAGCTCATTATCAGCTGTGAAAACTAGGCCAGGTGCTAACTGTGGAACAGACCATCAACTGCTCATATATATGTTCAAACGGAAGCTAAATAAAATTAAATCAAGTCCATAAAAACAAAATTTTGCCCCTTCGTCTGTCCCAACTGAAGTTAAAAATCATCTCAGGAAGAGGTTTGAGGCCTTGTATACTAATGAACAAAGACCAGATGAGCTGTCGAAGGATATCAAGGATATCATTCATGAAGAACACCAAAGGTCATTACAAAGTCAGAGGAGGAAGAAAAGACCAAGAAGGATGTCAGAAGGGACTCTGAATATTATTCTAGAGCATGGAGAACCCAAAGCAAAAGGGAAGAAAGCAGGAAATTAAGGAGCTGAACAAAAGATTTCAAAGAGCAGCTTGGGAAGATAAAGCAAAGTATTATAATGAAATGTGCAAAGAGCTGGAGTCAAATCATAAGGGCTGAACTCGCTTGGTATGTCTTGATCTGAAAAAACTGAAGGACAAATTCAAGCCTTGAGTTGCAGTAGTTAATGTTACTATGAGCAGAATACTGAATGATCCAAAGAGCATTAAAAGAAGATGGAAGGAGTCCACATAGTCACTGCACCAATAAGAACTGACATAGAAAACTTTCATGGACCAACATAAGATCAAGAGGCAATGGTGATGAAAGAGGAAATTCAAGCTGCTCTGAAGGAATTGGCAACAAAGCCCCAGGAATTGTTGAAATACCAATCGACACATTTCAGCAAACAGATGCTGCCCTGGACGTGCTCACCAAGTTATGCCAAACAATCTGGAGGACAATTACTTGGCCAACTGACTGGAAGAGATCTATATTTATTCCTACTCCAAAAAAAAATGGTGACCTGACAGAATGTGAAAATTATAGAACAATATCATTAATATCACACACAAGCACACTTAACTACTAAATCACCAATAATTTAAACGTACAGAAAATATTTCTGTGTGGTGACTTTGAATTGGTTGAAATCCTTTCACAGCTACAGTTTCTTTTCAATATATGAGGAGACTCATAAAAGTAGAGTTGTTGTCCAAAATAAATACAACCATATATTATCAAACAGAATTTAAAATCCTTAGCTCCAGTCCAAAAGGTGAGAGGCATTTTCACAGTGTCATTGCAGTAAGAAGACTTGGATTCTCGCCCAAGCCTTACTGCATAAGTAGATTTTCTCACTTCTCTTTCATTAACTACTTCCCTCCAACAGAGGGGACTATTTCCACTACATAGTGGTGGAAGTCACTGGATTCAGGCCTATTATGCAATACAATGCCCATTCTTGCCGTAGCGTCCAGGGAGCACTCAAGCCCCAGAGTCAAGCCGGCATGTGTCAACTCCCCACCCCCATCATTCCCTGGTTATTTCCTGAAGCAAGATATTTCCTCTGGGGGTCACTATTCTCATCTTCAGTTGAAGTAATGTGTGCCCTTGAAGGGACTGTGATTCACAACGGGCCTGACGGGATAGAGGAGAACTGGGTTTCCACGGCTGCAGACTTTACAAAAACCCATAGAGAAGGCTTTACCGAAGCTCATAGAGAAGGCGGTGGTGTTGGTTGGGAGCTGAGTATTTCATCACTGCCCCACACTCACAGACTCCAAGCCTTTGAGCTCCTCAGTCTCCTTGCAATAGAATACGGTTATCCCTCTGGATCGATCTACAGGTTCTACATTCAACCAGCCACAGACTGAAAATACCTAGGGGTAGAAGGAACAACAAAGCACTCAAAGCAGTCTCACAAAGGCTAATCAGAAGCACACGAGCCATCTGTGCAGCATTCGCTTGTCTTAGGTAATGGAGCGATGTGTAAGTATCTAGAGACCGTTTCAAGGACAGCAGATAGAAGGTGGCATGTGTGCTACATGTTAACACTACACCTTTATACACAGTGACTCGGGCATCCCTGGATTTGGGTCCTCACAGGGTCCTGGACACAATCCCCCACTCATGCTGAGGGACCAGTGTTGTACATCCTAATTTAAAAAGATGCTGTGACATTATTCACCATCACCAGAACATGGAAACCGCCCAAACGTACAACCACAAACGAATGGATTGAGAAATTATGGTACATTCACACAATGGAATACTATGCAGCATGCAGAAGCATTAACTTTGTAAATTATTACCTAACTTGGGAGGGACTGGAGAGCATTATGCTGAGTCCCACAAGGATAAATATTGTGTAAGACTATTATTGTAGTAGGAATATAAGGATGCAGGACAGATGGGAGAGGCTGGAAGCAGAGGGATGTGGATAGATGAGGGAAGAAGGGATTAATTATTAGATTGTGCAATTTGATGGGTAGAGGGGAAGTAAAATTGAAAGAATTTATTCGAATTTGTATTAGAATTTTATAAAAAACTAGCGGGAGGGGAAAAAGGTCAGCTTGGGGAGGGGGAAGGGAAGGAGAGGGGGTAAAATGCAACAATGAATGAATGAAAATCTAACTTTTCTGTAAACTTTTGTTAAAGTGACAATGAAAAAAATTTCTTTTTTAAAAAAGATGTGAGGCTTAAAGAAGCAAATGCATTTAGTAAGGCACACCGTAGTCCCTGGCATAACATAAATGCCCAATAACCTAAATATGAGCAAGTACAATATTATTGATATTAATAAAACCAGAGTGGGGCGTGAGATGGAATGGCCTCTGAGGCTGTATCTGCTTCCGTCTCTCCACGTGACCACACGCTGGAGGATGTCAGTCACGTGCTCACTGAATTCCTCGTGCAGTGAGAACTCGTGGGTGAATAAGTTAGTGCCAAGTGGTTCATGGTCGTAGCACAGATAGTCACTTTAAAACCCACTTACCCTTCAGTGATTTCCAGTCCCGAATGGCGGTGATCCTCCATCGGGTTTCTGAGGCTGAAAGTCTTAACAGGAGGAGATTGCTCAGCTTTCTCCCATGGAACAGCTGATGGATTTGAACCATTAACCTTGTGGTTATCATGCAACACGTTCTACCCTGTGTCACCAGAGTTCCTCCACTTTAAATTAGTCAGGGCTTAAAGGAGCTACCGTTGACTCGGGAAAACTGACTTGCAAATCTGATAATAGAAAAATTACTTCCATATAATAAATTGATTCTCAAATACCAGGCAAAATGTCATTGCAAATTACTTCCGTATAGTAAGAATATAGGAAGAATTCCAAATTACTTCCATATGGTAAGCCGATTATCTTCATTTGATAGTACACCGTTAAAGGTCACCAGGAAGACAAATCTCAGATATGCTGGGGCTTTGTGGGAGTACAGATTAGAATTCCTTACTTTTACTATCATCTAACTCTCAACTCTTTTTTGAAGGTCTGAGAGGGAAGACCGGACCGCTGGGTCTTGTTGGAGAGAAGGGAGATCAAGGAGAGACTGGCAAGAAAGGACCCATGGGGCCAGAGGGAGAGAAAGGAGAAGTGGGTCCTGTGGGGTCTCCTGGACCGAAGGGAGACAGAGGGGACCCCGGGGACCCCGGGCTGCCTGGAGTCTGCAGGTGTGGGAGCATCGTACTCAAGTCAGCCTTCTCCGTGGGCATCACGACCAGCTACCCAGAAGAAAGGCTGCCCATCATCTTTAACAAGGTCCTCTTCAATGAGGGCGAGCACTACAACCCCGCCACCGGGAAGTTCATCTGCGCCTACCCAGGTGTCTACTACTTCTCTTATGACATCACGTTGGCTAACAAGCACCTGGCCATCGGACTGGTACACAACGGAAAGTACCGGATACGGACCTTCGACGCCAACACGGGCAACCACGACGTGGCCTCGGGGTCCACGGTCATCTACCTTCAGCCAGAAGATGAAGTGTGGCTGGAGATCTTCTTCACAGACCAGAACGGGCTCTTCTCTGACCCAGGCTGGGCAGACAGCTTGTTCTCTGGCTTCCTGCTATACGTTGACACGGATTATCTGGACTCCCTATCAGAAGACGACGAACTGTGATCATGGCTGAGGACTGAAATGTTTCTTCCAAGTTCCCTGTGGATTCCATCCAAGGCCCTGCAAGGTAGAGCCAGTGGCAAGGAGATTCAGGCGAAGTCCCAGTGGGATTCAAGTACATGTCCAGAGAGCTCCAGAAGAATCTATCCAAACAAGATCGACCACCAGCTAGGGCCACAGGCAATCTTTGGGTTACCAAGGGGATCCATTCCTAAGTGTGCCTTTAAGTCTACTTTGCAGGCCAATCAGAACAGCTGCATACTGTTCTTATTTCACCTGACGTTAGTGCAAGAAAACACTCAAAGCCTTTTCCGTGATTTAAAAGCTACACATGCAGCAAATGAAGGTGATGGTGACGATGAATTGGTTTCAGGCTGGGGTTGGTTCAATCATTTCAAAGTGAGAACAGACTTGCAACCATTAAAGGCAAGCATGGGTTGTAAGTTGGGTATTCATAACAAAGTGACTTACTGTACATAGAAATGAATTATATACCATAATCTTAGCTATGCCTCCCTTTGAAAGCAGTGTTCATAAATATTTAAACAAGTTAAAACCAATGTTAATAAATTTTCTATTAAATACTTTGAGTGATAAAACCAATTGGCAATGGTGCGGTCTCATTAAATCTCCCTGCAATGGCATTTGCCTGGTATTTAAGAGAATCATAACACCTCAGATAATTTCTTGGACAATTGTGGTTAAAACGGAAAAGTAAGTCAGAAAATGATTGTAAGAGGCACTGTTCTCAACAGGCTGGAAAGAGGTAATAATGTCTTGTTATTCACTCTTTCATGCTTGTGTATGTTCTTTTTTTAAGGGTTTTTTTAAATTATCGTTATTATTGTTAATTTTAATGAAAATTTACAGAGAGTTTGGATTTCCATTCATTCATTGTTGCAGTTTTCTCCCTGCCCACGCCTCTCCTCCAGTTCGTTCTTCTCTTTGAAAAGTAAAAGAAAATTTATTTCATTGTTATACAATCCCTCCCCCCAAGTCCACTCCATTACACAGCCTTCGTTCTGGACTCATGTCATGATAACACTACCTAATGATATATACCTTTTAAACAGTTCTCTCCCTCATCTGTTTCAATGCAGTATACATTATTGAACCCATCTTTCTCAGTCTCCCCCAACCCCTATGTCAGTCCCATTTTACAACAGTGGCACTATGCAGTATTTGTCCTTTTGTGACTGAGATATTTCACTTAGCATAATGTCCTCCAGGGTCACCCATTTTTAATAATGTTTTATGAGTTCCTTGTTTTTCAATGCTGCATAGTATTCCATTGTGTGAATATACCACAGCTTCTCTATCCATTCGTTTCTTGATGGGCACTTGGGTTGTTTCTGTCTCTTTGCTATTGTGAACAAAGCCCCAATAAACATGGGTGTGCATATATCTGCTCGGGTGGTGGTTATGGTTTCTTTGGGGTATATTCCCAGAAGTGGAATTGCTGGGTCAAATGGTATTTCTATTTGCAACTTTTTGAGAAAACGCCATATTGCCTTCCACAGTGGTTGCACTATTTTACACTCCCACCGATACTGAATAAGGGTTCCTGTTTCTCCACAACCTCGCTCTTTTCAGCACTACTTTAATGAGTCTGAGTGAAGTAGGACTAGGGAGTGGGGGCAGACTGAATAATCAGGTAAGACAATGTCATGACCTTCAAGAATCCCTTACCTGGCACTTGACGTACATAATATCACCGACCAGGGTGCAAAGGAGGGGCTGGGACCCCTTCCTCTTGCGGGTGAGGAGAGGGGTGGAGAGGGTTCCACAAACAGGAAAAGACTAGACCGATCAATGCGCGTGTCTAAGGGGGAAAGACCCAAAGGAAATAAGGAACGCAAGAGCTGTACTCCCCACCTCCCGCCCTTGACACACCACCGGTCCCTCTAAAGTGGGGCGCTGGGGGGCTGAAGGCAGAGGCCGCCTGGGAGCAGTAAGAGCAATGAAGGGGGAGAAACAAGAGAATGAGACCAGCCTGGGGGTTGTTCTAACTCCTTCACAAGCAAGGGTGTCTTGGGACAAACATTTGAATGAAGCTTTCTCACAATTAAAAGCCATTGTTGGTCAAGGACATCCTGGGCCTTGAATGCATATAAAAGCAAAGCAGATGTGCACTGACTGAGGAGGAGGAACTCAAGGTCTGAGGCAATGTCTGCTCCTTCCAAGTTTCACACCAGCCTGGGTCTCACCTGCTCTTCAGTGTCCCCGCCTCCGTCTGCAGTTTCTCAGCTAGTCTGTCTCATTTTATCACTCCCTCAGCTTAGGGGGATGTCATTCCTGTTCCCTCCCTTTTGGTATCTTCTGTGTATTCCCTCTTCACTCCTTCATCTACTAAACTTTAAACACTCCCTCTGTATGAATCACTCTGCTGGACCCTGTGAGGATAAACGAATGTCAGAACAGATCTATCAGGGCCCCTGAAATGGCCTAGTGGTAAGAAGCTGCACTGCAACCCCAAAGGGACATGGTTCGGATCTCTCAGCTGCTCCACGGGAGAAGATCCCCCTACACGATTTTTCCACCTCTGAAAACCCACTGGAGGGTCAGCAATGGGTCGGTTCTGACTCCACTCACAGCAGCTGTCAAATTCCTGGGAACAGAGAAAGAAAATCACACACACACACAGAGAGAGAGAGAGAGAGAGAAAACCGATAATTCTGAAAAAGGACATGCTAAAATTGGCATCGGCAAGTAAGGGCCAGTCCTGGGAAAAAGAAAGGGTTCTAGGAAAATTAGAGAGAGGGTCAGGGAAAGAGAGGAAGCCAGTCATGAAGCTGGGCGGACACAGGAACTGCAGCCAAGGGGCTTGAGCATGGAGGAGGTGGCGAGGAGGATGAGGATGGTGCCGGGAAGGAGACAAGGCTCGGCACTGTGAGTTGACTCAATGGCCCAAACAACAACAAAATTTACTAATATAATCGATTGGAGGTGGAGATAGAATGCTGTTGAAGCGATGTAGGTATTTACTTCTAATTTAGAGTATGAAAGCAGAGAGCTATGGAAATCACTCTTGCAATAGGACCATAAAATGGATGCTATTGTTATGTTAGGTATGTGATGTATGTTAAGTTAGGTCATGTATGTTATATGTGCTGTGCTGTGTGTGTTATGTATGTTATGTTAGTTATCTGTTATGTATGGTATGTACATTAGGTTAGGAAATTGTAAGATATGTTGTGTATTTTAGGTTAGGTTATGTATGTTAGGTTAGGTATGGTATGGTATGGTATGGTATGGTATGGTATGGTATGGTATGGTATGGTATGGATATAGGTTGGGATAGGTTAGGTAAGGTATTTTAGGTTAGGTTATGTATGTTAGGTTAGGTATGGTCTGGTCTGGTCTGGACATAGGTTAGGTTAGGTTAGGTTAGGTTAGGTTAGGTTAGGTTAGGTTAGGTATGTTAGGTATGGTATGGTACGGACATAGGTATATTATGTATGTTAGGTTATGTATGGTATAGTATGGACATGTTATGTTATGTTATGTTATGTATTTTAGGTTAGGTTATGTATGGTGTGGTGTGGTATGGTATGATATGGTATGGTATGGTATGGTATGGTATGGTATGGTATGGTATGGTATGGTATGGTATGGATGTTATATATTAGGTTAGGTTGTGTACTGTCAAGTCAGAATAGACCTGTTGTTGACCCTCCAGCGGGTTTCAGAAGCAGTAAATCACGTGGGAGGGGACTGTCCATCTTTCTCCTGTGGGTAAGCTGAGAGATCCCAACCATAAAATGGATAGGACTTGAAACAATAAAGGGAAGGAGAGGGAACTTCAGATAGAGGGACACGCTGGCTCAAAGCATAAAAGTTAGAACAGACACGACGGTCAGTGGAGCATGTTATCAGTGGCCTTGGAGCCCCTGCTGGGAGCTCTGGGGGCCTGGTGGTAGGAAGCTGTGCTGCAGTCCTGAAGGCAAGCAGTTCCAATCCACCCGCCTGCGTCCACTGCGGGACCTGAATGGGCAGTCTCCTTCTGTGCGATTTACTGCCTCTGAAAACCCACTGGAGAGTCAGCGATGGATCAGGTCCAATGTGACAAACAACAACAACAACAGGGGCACCCGGCAGAAAGGACTTTACTCATGAGGGCGTGTGGCATCCCTGTGCCTTCCTGGACTGGATAGGCTGTTACCAGATGACCAGACGTCTGTGTTCCTGGACTGATTAGGCCATTACCAGATGACCAGACGTCTGTGTTCCTGGACTGGATAGACCATTACCACATTATCAGACATCTTTATTCCTGGACTGGTTAGGCCATTACCAGACTATCACACGTTTGCATTCCTGGACTGGACAGGCCATTACCAGAATATCAGATGTCTGTGTCCCTGGACTGGACAGGCCATTACCAGATGACCAGACATCTGCGCTCCTGGACTGGCTAGGCCATTACCAGACAATCAGACGTGTGCGTTCCTAAACTGGATAGGCTGTTACCAGATGACCAGACGTCTGTGTTCCTGGACTGGATAGACCATTACCAGATTATCAGACGTCTGTGTTCCTGGACTGGACAGGCCATTACCAGATGACCAGACGTCTGTGTTCCTGGACTGGATAGGTCTTTACCAGATGACCAGACATCTGTGTGAAGGGTAGTTCCTGCTTCTTTCTCTCAGGACAACCTGTTCTTCTCCTGCCTGCCCTCCTTTGCCCACATTTTGTTCACCATCTCCATTAAGACAGGCATCTGAGACACGAAAGACAGAGAGGTTTGGACAAAGTGAGGCTGACAGCTGAACCATCAACAAGCTGGACTGACACACTGACTACAGCACTGGACCTCAGCATGCCGGCACTGATTTTTTTTGGTTGTGATAGGGTTCTCATCAGTCGGACCCTGCTGGACACACCTCACAACAATAATCAGGCACTTGTGCATGATAAAACCACCAGCGCAGTCAGGCCATGTGGCTCTGTAGTCATGACAACCCCAAATCCACCCCCTCTGCTCAGCACGAGGAACAAAA